GAAACGTCAGGCAAATAAAACTCTTGTTCCAGTGATCGCATCTTCTTCCGCTTTGTATCATCTTTCTCTCGTGTTATGTGGACCACAGGTGGAGACAATTGGTGACGCCTACATGGTGGCCTCTGGTCTTCCTATCCGCAATGGCAATCTGCACGCAGGCGAGATTGCAACCATGGCCCTAGAGCTGCTCAGTCTCAGCGCTGCCATGGTAATTCGACACCTGCCTGATGTGCCCATCCTCCTGCGCATCGGCATCCACTCGGGTAGGTCAATGTCTGTGAAAACTAATACGAAATAGTAGCTACAACCATGCGAACGGTCTACCTTGTTAGTCCTCATCGCCTATAATCTGCGGTATACACAAGAGCATTTTTTAGCTTTTGTTTGCTCATTGTTATTCCACACCTTCACCAACCTCTTCGTAGCTGCCTCCCACTCAACCACCCCTTCGTATTGGTTTTAGAGGAAATATCTTCTATTATTTTTATCAGCATTGACAGTTATTCAGTGGTTTCCTTGCGATATTCTGTGCGGAATTGGGGAAATTTTCGATGGCATGAAGTGAACGTACATAGGCGCCGTACTAGACTTTATGGGCAGCCTCAGTTTCCAGAGTAACAGCCAATATTTGACTACGAGGTTCTAAGTGGCCGCAATTTTCATTCGTGTCGGTCAACTTGCAAAGAACTGATTGTTTGTCTGTGGAAGTATTACTGCTATAAATTCACGCATTCGCTAATACGCACTAAAAAATTTAAATGTAATTGTCTATACAACACAGGAAGGTTTTCATACAGTGACCTTTACATGTGTATCCTTCCAGCTGACTGAATAAATTATGCCCCGAAGAAAATTATTCAAGTGTTATTCATTCTCTTTTCACCTGTTTACATATATTTCAGGAGTTTTCATAGGAATTATAAAAAAGCAGTCGATGTTCTCAAAGATGACTCAACATTTAGTATTTTTGCACTCTTCTGTCTTTGAAGGAAAGTGCTTTCTAGGGTTTCAGTAAATCACAGGGGTGCTTGAATTGACGGATATTTAAAATACCAGTAACGGTACCCGCACAGTTTCCTATGTGGACCGTCTCAACTTAAATACACCAGGTAGCGTTGGTAGTAATTCGGTGAAGTTACAACGTAGGTAAGCATGAGTAACGAAAAGAATACGAATTCCAGACATTTTTCGAGGGAAGCATTGAAGGATATGCAACGATGTTTAGTGTTTTATGTTTCCATAGTGATAATGATCTTTTTCTTTGTGTTCCTGTCATTGACATGCCTAATCCGCTTTAATGTTCACAGAAACCGCAAAGAAGATGACCCCTGATAGCAACTAGTGTGGCCGTTGGCCCTGGAACAAATTTGCCTGAGCCAATATAGATAACTCTGAATTTCATGAGATAGTTAGGTCTCCCGGCCTCTTGACTTCCAATCTCTTAAGCTCGATAGTCCTTGCTTCTGGGTTGGTAAAAGGAAAATTGGTTTCTGGTATCCAAAATGCTAACCATAATTTTATTCCTAAAATCATGATTTTAGGTCTGTGGGATGGAAGTGCAAGGGTAACGACGTCTCTTTTTAATGTCCTCAGGGCAGACAGTTTCAAAAAGTCCTACTCATTAAAGTAGGCTGCTAGGGTAACGTAAATGTTTACTCCAAACTTCAACATTCAAAGTTGGGACCATAGTTCTAAGTAATTCTTCCTTATGTGTTAACTCCACGTTTCTTGTTTATGTAAATCTCATGGAAACTTAACAGTAAACTTCTTTTAAATGGCTGAACCAGTATCATCAATGTCTCTCATTCTTCACAGGGGCATGCGTGGCTGGTGTCGTTGGATTAAAAATGCCACGTTATTGCCTCTTTGGGGATACGGTGAATACCGCGTCCAGAATGGAATCCTCAAGTGAAGGTAAGAGCTCAGTGGTGTAAAGTTTAAGTTAAAGGAATATCAATAATCTTTGCGTAGACTTCGTCACTGCTAACATGATATACTGCAAGTTTACCCTGGGCAAACTTGCAAAACCCAAGCTGCTCCATTTACCTATTTTGGAGCGCTTTGGATTTGCAAATCAAGGTTCAAAGTAGATCGGCAGATCAAAAAATAAAGCAGGATCAGATTTGTCGACATCCCAGCTGACGAAAAGTGCAGATGCAGCATCTAGCAGCATGCAGCATGCATCTAGTGAGAAACTCCAGCGGCTCCCAGCTATTTCCGTTGATGTTAACAGAATCGTGAGTTTCGTAGTGAAGGAAATGTCTGTTCCTCCCAGAACTTCAGGGACTAAACGATCTATCGTTGCCTCATTTGCAAAAAATCTTTTTGAAGTTTACCGGAAAAGTCGAAGATAGGCTTAGCTCAGAATTATTCCGAAACATTTTGAACGCACGTACTTTGCTGATATGGACTCTTATCAGAGGCACAAGCTACGTTTAACTGGACCACATAACGCTTACTCTGTTTTAGTCGCAGGAAGATACCAGAGTAAACCGTAAAGAATTGATCATATTGCGGATTGACTACGTTGTCTGAAAATTCTTCTGTTAGCACAAGCAGGGGTAATAGGAAAAAAGGATAAAATACAGTTTTTAACAACTGTCACACACGCGATGACGCAGCTTCCAAACGGTGCCCACTGAATGGTTTTGCGGGTGTTCTTACCTCTAATGAAGCCGCCGTTGAAAATTAATTATGTCAAAGTGGTCAACACTTCTAAATCTCCTGTGGTAATGCCCTTCGAAATATAATTGAACAGATGCACGACCGACTGGCCTCAACTTAAATTCAAACACTACTCAAATGCTGGTGACCTATCATTAGATTAATGATAGCCTGAACAAAAGGTTTCAATTCTACAAGTTAATGACACCCTGCGGTCTGTTGAAAATCCTCAAAAAAATCAAGTACACACTGTTACTGCCGATAAAAGCATACATCTGAAATCCAAGGAGCAGGTCAGAATAAGCTGCGGTCACTGGACTAATAACCTTCCCGGGCTGACATCCTTTCTTACTTGTCTGTCTCAGTTGAAAAAAAACGAGGAAATGGAGGATTGTGCCAGTCACGCCAAGATCCTCCAGCATTTGAAGTTCCGGTTCAATGCGTTTACTGATTTCTGGACTGAAAATTGAGATGGTCCAAAGACGGTTGCATTCGCTGGCTTTCCTAACCAG